TCTTCCGATTTCTCGTCGCTCTCCTTCTCTTCTCCATCCCTTTTTCCCACAGGATCTCGTGTCTCCTTTTGTCGCGGAACGGCATTTATTTATTGTACGCCGGGGTATAAGCTTTATCTAATGCATACTTAATAGCATTAAAGTCTGCTCAACATACTTGACTTCTTGTTCGAACGGATTTCGAGTACAGACGCCTTCTACAGATTCAGATATATAGGGTGTACCTGAAACCAAGAGGGAGCACAGGTCCCAAGATCTGATAGGAAGCGTAATTTCGAGCAACGAAGTTTCGATAAACGCTTTATCCAACAGTGAGAGAATTATACAAGTTAATACGTTTCCTCAACTGGTTGTGTTACCGATGTCGCACCTTGTTTCTCGTTTTGGTAGTTTCTACACGAAACATACCCTTTGTCGTTTACAACAACGTTTTTCACCCGAGCAGCTAGACGAAGGTAAATCGTATCTCAGGAATCAACCGATCATTAATTAAATCGTCTAACTAGATCGTATCCGAAGCTTGAAGCATTTGCTGAAATTAAACTAGGAAAGCCAGAATTGCATCGGGTAAAACGGATGCCAAGAAGTACAAAAGATCTTATATCCAGGTTGGGAAATACGGCAAAGGAAGATGGAGAAACGAGGGAGCCGAGCAGGTTAAATGCTCCGAGAAAATTATTTACCTCTATCGAGCGACCTGGCCATAAGAAGTGTCGGCAGGATCAGAAAGACCATGTACCACGATAGCCGGTCCCGCATCCTTGCGAGGTTTTGAGTCCTCCTGGAAAGAGAAAGAAAAAACGGGAAAGGTCGAGTTTTCAGTTATAAAGCACAAATTCGTATGCGTCCGCTATATCCTCAATTGCCTCTTTGTTTTTCCTGATTTTTCCGGGACGGTGCGCGTTCGTTCCTAAATCGTCTTTTAAAGGAAAGCTTCCAAGTCGTAGATCCCAGCTACCCCTACCCCATCGTCCCCTTTTTGTGCTCCGTTTTCACATGTTTCGTATGCATTCGAAACGCGAAAGAACTTATGTCTGATTTATAACAAATTGCCTTCGTTTCGTATGGCATTCTTGAAAAGGTCGAAGAAGTGATCCAAAGCTGAGCCCAGCGCGCCGTTTTCAACGATTTGCATATTAAAAGACCGCGGATCCTTTTGATATGGCGAATTTTAATTCTCTTCGACATCTCTCTCCTCTTTTTTCTCCTTCATTTTCCTCTCATTTCTATCGCGTTTAAAATTCGCATTTCAGAATAAAACAAGGAAAGAAAGATAGAGGGAAAAGGAAGAAAAGTGGGGGCAATTTTGAAGGCGATCAGAGCAAGATAGACGTTTATTCGGTTCTTCATGATGTAATTTACGCGCATTAAAACCACGTGCAGGATTCACCAAATAAAACCAACCGCTTGATTTTCCGTTCTTGGGGTATATACATCGGACACATTGAATGTTTCGTGGAAATTCAAACGTCCACTGTTCAATGATACCGAATTCTCGTATTATTTTCATTCCTTTCCTAATAACCGTTTACCGTGTTCCCGATGTATTCGACAATTGAGGAAAATTCCAAAATTCATCAACACGTTCTCAGTTTTGCGTAATTTCGTTTACGTTACATGCACGCAGAACATCCGCAGTGTCGCTCACTATGCATTCATTCTGCCATTCATAGTAGTGTTTCCCAGTCTCGTTTCAGTCTCCGTAACTCCGCCATTTACATTTTTTTCCACTCACTCATTCTTTTCTCACTCACTCATTCTTCGACGGTTACGTTGCCAACTCTGTTGGTTAACACGTTGTTATTAGTCAATGCACGTGCTGATTAAACTGTTCACGTGGTGTTCACGCTTATTTCTTGCGGTCGATCGTCGACAGTCGCGTTAATTGGCCCGTTAAAGTTCCGTTCATCCGCTGCACATAGCAAGAACCGTTTTACGGCTAATAAAACGAGACGAATGCAAATAGTTGTGATAAATCGGGCAAACGTGACGCCTTTATCGCGAAAAGATCGTTCGCGTTAACGTTTAACCGCGTGTTTTCCATGCTTTCTCCCTTTTTTCCACCCGTTCCCCACCCATCTAAATCCCGTTCCACGGTCCGGATTACACCATAAAAATCTATTGTTCGAATTTTTACGTGGTGCCATCGTAATTTCGCGCGATACGAACGTAAAATCCGGCTACGGCAAGGAGTACAGGGAAAACGGAAAAGTGAAAAAGGAGGGGGGAAGGGAAGGATAGGGGGATAAAGGAAAGGGGGAAAAAAGAGTGGGAATAAAGGTAAAACGTTTTAAAAGCGCCAAAATTGCTTAACGTTTATTTTTATTCGCCATGCACGTACATGGTATAAAACGGTGAAATATTTTCACAAGGAAATGTTTATTACACGCGGATACGCGTGTATTGATTTTTAGAACGCGGTGGAAATTGCAAAAGCGGTGGAACCGGGGACGGAATAAAAAATGGCGACGGGAAGGGGATCCGAATTAGTCGTGATCATTTCGGTAAATATTGGTCGAAAGGAAAGGCTCTTCTCGCGGCTAAATCCGCGATACCGTATGATTTAACGTTCAACGATGCTAAAATTGTTATTAGAGAACGCCGGAACGAAAATAAAGAACGCTCGCCAACCATTACAGATAAACCGAATTTGCATTTATCCGGCAACGCCGTCGTTTTATTTAACGCGGTTATCTAATAATTTCCGCGCACGCATCGTCCAACCCCGCGATTTTAATGCACCAAGACGCGTTCCAGCGTCGTATAATTCCATTAAAAATGCAGTTTCACGCGTGATCCGTTATAGGGGGCCGATGCAAAGAGAGAAGTGTTCGATGAAGTGGAAAAAATGTTCGACTGATCGAAACGCAACATTATACCGAATTTTCATTAGGTAGGAATATTTGAACGATTAATTGTATCGAAACGCGATACAAAATTCAGTCGTATCGCATGACGTATAATAGGATGTACTCTACGCAGAAGTTTTACGGTCGTTACTCTGAAACCGGTAAACAAAATTGAAACGCAGTCAAGCGGTACGTTAAAAATCAAATATTAATACGAGTGAGGCATTAAATAGCGGGGAGTCGATAAGTTACAAATGCGTTTCTCTGTTTTACGATTCCATTGCTCTTGGAGCCGCAGGCTGGTGGATTGGTATCTCCACCTTCGAAAAGGGCACGGGATACTCTGGTAGGATTCTCTCCTCTGTTGCCAATCGTTATCCGAGATTTATTGTTTCCCGACGATGGCTGGGTCACGGAATCGGGTTCATTCTCCGCTTTGCCCTCGCGAGGGTTTCCATTCAAGCGGTGCTGCTTTGCATAAATTTCCGTGCTGATGCGACACGATATCAGATTGCCGTCGTGATAGAAATAGAATATATATATATAATATCAAGACGTAGGTACAAGTATGCATGTACACGCGCAGACATGTACACGTGCACAAATGTGTTAAGCAACGTAACGCGTATGCGTAGGTATTATTGATTCGTTGGAAATATAATGCGCGCTGATGCAGGGCAGCCGACACACGTTGCCATAACGTAAGTAGCTGGTCCACCTTTGCCAGGCGATGGTTCTAGATGGCAATTGGCTAGTTACAATGGCCCAGGACCGGCATACGGAGCTGGCCATATATGCGGTAAATGCACTGCTGATGAAACAGTTGTATGGCACGTACGTACACGCCTTGGTACGCCCGGTTAATGGAAACCTTTCCTTTGGCACATCGATCGATAAATGGGTCTACAGGGTGCAGTTGTAAAGAGTTAGCATGCCGCTTGCATGTGGCGTCTGCCAATGCTTCTTACGTATGCATGGAATCGGCTAAGATTAGGGGCCTGGTAGGCTAGGCGAAAACCTCGGCAGAATTAAAGTGCGAGCGGTGTTTATTGCAACGGACATCGCCGCCGGCTGATATGCAACGAGAATACGGAACCAGCCGGAATTAGCCGCCGTTCTGATCCTTCCTGACCGGAAATGTTGCATTAACCCCCCAGCCAGCGTGAAACTGATCGTTTTCGTGTTCCCGCGAAGAAGAGGGAAGTTAGCGAAATTAGCCGCGCGATGGTTCTAGGGGAGAACACGAACAGTAGAATCGCTTTTCGGTAGGTATTTACGATCACCATAAGCATGCCCCGAGATCACACGATGGATAGGTTAACGCGTACCGTTCGAATCGCTTTCGTTTGCTTTCGATATATCTCCCTGCTTGGCCAACATCCCTATTCGAAGTTACATCGTTCTCCTCGGGATCCAGCGATTTTCGCCTTCGCTGCTCCTAAATATAAAAAGATAATATAATACAATAACTTGAGCGATGAATATAGGCGTCGATATCTTTCGAATCGAATCTCCCACCGTCACGTAGTAAGCCCGGTGTAATAAAACTTGGTGAAAAATTCCACGGTTTTATTACCCTTGCGTTCCAGATCAGACGCAGCGGCTTTAGAATACTACCGAAATCGTAGCTAACTGTTCCCTCGGGATTCGCTTTGCAGTGCAAATGCATCCGTCTAAATCTTTGCGTCTTAAAGCATCCCTGGCGCGCGTCTCGCGTACGCGAAGAGGATAGAATCGGGGTCTGAACACAGGTAGATCCGTGATATCGGTGGAACAGCGGTTGTATTGCGCGTGACTTCGCATGTTAAGTGCCATTGCCAATATACGTACATGTATTCCACGTTTTCACGTGTGTGTGTGTGTGTGTGTGTGCGTGACTTCGCATGTTAAGTGCCATTGCCAATATACGTACATGTATTCCACGTTTTCACGTGTATGTGTGTGTGTGTGTGTGTGTGTGTATGTGTCGTTGGCTAGATGCGTGCGTACGAAATGAAAGCAGGTCGCGAACGGCCGGCTATCCTGCAGTCGGGATCGAGAACAGGTTGTCGATCAGTTTGGTAGGAGAGGATCTAGCAAATCGAGATGTTCCATTGTTATTTACTCCTTTTCTTTCTCTTCTCGGCTCTCTTCTTTCGTCTCTCGTTGCTTCTCAGCTGCTCATTCGGACAACACGGTCCCGGACCGAGCACGTACGAACGCTCGCCCAAGGGCAACTGTCCACTTTGTTTGCTGGGCCGAGTGGCAGCGCAAACTTATACAACAATTTCGTTCTTAGTACCCTCAATTAACTTAAGAGCAATTAGCATTCGTTTCAACTCGAATCGCGGCGAAATGCCGTTTTTCGTTCGGACTCTTCGCGTGTGTCCTGCTTTGAACTCCAGACTCGTGCATTCGACTCTTAACAACCGGTTGTCCGCTTCGTGAAAATTTCCACGAACGTAACGACAAAGCTCTCGAATCGCTTATCTCTTTCGTTCCGCGAAATATATATTCCATTTCAACCCTCGACCCTCTTTTATCCTTAAAACAGTTTACGACTACTTAAAACTTTTAAAAGTACTATCTCATCCTCGTGTATACATAGCTGAGTCCGTAGCGTTTCCTTATATTTTCAGCGAAATCTTTCCGAACGTAAGATAGAGTTACGTGCGCAACGTCGTATGCCATTTGAAACGAAAAACCTGAGGCAGATCTTGCAGGGATTAAACAGGGGTGGCGCGCTATCAGGCACAGGGGGTAGAACGTTTTACCGAGCTGCAACAACGTTTTGCATGACCCGGCCATTGTGGAACGTTCTGTACGCGAACCGAGATCGAAATGATCGGGACCTGACTGGATGGATGGTAGTCATTAACGAGGGTTGGGTGCTACGATGTCGGTGGTTCGCGTCACGATTATCCAGCTCGTGATAATATCTCTATTTCATCGA